ATATAAAAGGAATATTTAGTCCTTAACTCTCTTTGTGCCGTCGTAATAAGCTCCCCTATATGAGAGGTCGTATATCTAAGTTCCTCAACTACAACTGATAATCAAATGCAATTAAAAGATTTCTTAAGATTTCTAATAAGGGCCAATCAGCAGTAAAAGATCAGATAGCGGCGCCTTATATTATTAACAAGAAACTCCTGAAGAGATATTCATCTGTCCAACTCCATATCTGGCAAAATGAAGAAATTGTTTAATTACTAAAGAACAGACCGAAGTGAAAGGACAGTTAATATCAAAAGTACATAGAGACTAAAGGAACAACTCAGAAGAGAGACAGGACTAACTGGAGGCACAAAAAATGTCCCCACACAAGACCCATGGATATAGATACCTTATCAGAACTCAATCCAATCCAAAATAATAAGCAAGAATAATAATCCCCAACCGTCTAAACTGAGTCTTACTACTGCCCCCAATACCGACAACATCAACTGTTCCCCCCCCCCAAATCTCAAGATCCTGAACTATATCTCTATAACCCACGTCAAATCTAATGGAGCCAGCAACACTCCCTTCCATAAATAAAGAAGTATCACAAGGACTTTATCAGCATCTCATGTTAGTCAAATTAGCGGTTAAATTAATTAACGAAAGAGCAAGGAGTGCTACGATTCTCAATATTCGCACCAAGAAGTAACTCAAAACACCTGAAAAGGACACCACCCCCCTAAGAGGAAAACACAAATGGTCATGAAAGCGTAAAAGCCATAAACGAACCTCAAACTCACGAAAGAATTCGAATCATATCCTATTAGATGAAGTCTCACGACTATCAGCAGCTCAATCCAGGCGGAAGTAATTTCGTCAGAATTCTACAGCCTCGCGTAGTATCCAGGCAAAACGACTCCCCCGAGCATAATACCCCTCGATCTCTCAAAGGACAGAACAGTAGGCAATAAAACCTGCAGGAAAAATTAATCCCAAGATCCCAAACCCCAGGTAGATGAAAATGACTATCTTCAAAAAGGAAGAAGTGTTAGAGAATAACAGGGACTAACTTGCAACACCTCCACAAAAAAGCACGAAGAGGACTATCAAGGAATATCAGATAACAAGTCCAGAAAAGGGATCGCGGACCAAATAAAACACCACCAGAACAGATAAGTCTGTGCCTCCCAAGCCGAGGCCACCCCCTCCCTTCCGCCAAGGGATGAGCTAGCCCCCAGGGGAAAGAGTCTTCACAGCAACCGAGCATAGGTTCAACCAGAAGGGAGTTTAAGAAATAAAAGAAGACAAATAAATAGAGCCCTACTGGCGGCCTTACAGCAGGAACAAAGCCACTAGCTAATAGGAGGGAAACCTAGAACGAGGAACAGAAGGAAATAAAAAAACCGGGCCCCCTCAACCAACGCAGAAGTAGAAGGCTTAGAGTCAAATCCCCTAAAAAAGGGGGCCACCCCCCAAAGACTCAGGATCTCCAACCCCCCTCTCGGCACTGGTTACATAAATCAGGTCCACTGAATCTACCCCCAAGTACCAAGTCAAGGACACGCAGGCAGTTGCAGCACGGTCAGAAATGGAGGCGACCAAAAGAGTAAAGCAAGTAACCCGAACGATAAAATTAGAGGGACAGTCCCCCCCCAAAGAAGGGAACTCCCCAGTAGAGGTCAACGGGGAAGGGCTCAGACGGACAGCTAACAACGGCTGATTCATAAACAGTGGGAGCAAGAGACATCTGGAGCTGAATCGCCACCTCACGAGATACTAGCCTAAAACGGAAAGACCCAAAGGGATAAGAGCTCACCCACCTGGTCATCACCAGCTGACTAAAACTCGGCTCAAGACATTTGAACTCCAAATAACGGAAAGGTCAAAAGAAAACGTCATTGGACCCTAAACATGACTAAATCCTCTCCCCCATCATGTCAAAGTAGCGAAAACAGCAACACAAATAAGAAAGCGAAACTCAAGATACAATAAAAAACCCAAGTCAGACGGCAATTCCAGTACCCTAACTGCAGAAAGGGTCTCTAGGGACGGGCCCCCACCCGCCAGATTAGAAGCAGTCTTTATAATAAACAATAGCCTCCCCCACACCCCAGCCTCCCAGTTCAGAACTCGGGTAGTAGTGACGCCTAAGGTCCCCCCAGGAGCAACAGCCTCAGCAAGTACGCAAAATAACGAATACCCAAGAATTTACGAGTTAACAAACGGGACCTAACCACCATCTTTCCCACTTCCCCTTCAAGAACTACTGAGCCTTAAAGGAAAAATCAAATCCTCCCGCCTCCCTGGGTAAAAGTCTGGATAAGAAGTAACTCGAGTCTAACGGGAGCGCCTCAAGGGGGGGCAAGGCCGAAGACACGCGAGGAGGAGATTAACTCCTCGGCCGTCTCAGAGCAAAGAGAAATCTAAGGAAATGCCCCCCACGGACAAAGTGAGCCTCCAACGCGTCTTGTGAGAATAACACTAAGAACCCCCCCGCGTATCAATCACGGAGGTAAAGGGAGATTCCTGGGGAAGACGATAGATAGGGCAAGCGCCCCGGGCGATAGGACTCTGAATCCTGAATAGAATATCAGCCGATAACACAGAGGGGAAGTGAAAAGCTCGATCCGCCCCTGAAGCGGCCCAATAGGAGCAACCAACGCCAGGCCCCCTGAGAATCATAAGACGATCTAACTGAGGGACCCGACACGATAAAATCATTTTCAAGGTGAAGCCACCAACCTCGAGGACTAGCTCCCTGAATACATCAGCAAGTGAGTCCCTCAAAGATTCTGAATCTGCAAGAAGAAGAAGTACATCGAGAAGCAGTGACCCTGAGGCAGCAATCGTCAAAGGCAATAGGATAATTTACAGTAGCAAGCAACGGAAATGCGTGAGGAAACAGTAGGAGATATAAAACCCCCGACCCAAGAAATCGGGGCCCACCCCTACCTCATGGACTAGAACCCTGGACCGGAGTAGTGCAGGAACAGCAGCTTGAGGAGCAAGTCCCGAACACGAATAATACATAATAGGAAGGTCAGCTAAAAGAGTCTCCTGACCCCGAAGCAACTCAAGGATCTGAAGAGTCACAGGCTCTCGAGAAACACGAGCTAAGGAAGAAGAAGGAGTTGATCTTTCTCCTCTAGATAATTAATAGCCAAGGAGAACAAACAACTTTAAGATGAATTCTCGTGTCTCTGGTAATATTAACCGAACTAGAGAAGGAACCGAAAAAATCCGACTCTATTCCCCCCAAGAACATCGCAACGAGGCACCACTATCGCGTCAAGAATATATGCAGAGGATTTCGAAGGTTGATCAAAAGAGAATCAAAGAGAAGGAGGCAAGAAACCTTGGGAGAACTATCATAAAAAGGCAACAAATTTGGAGAAAGGATTCCTACGTTAACAGATGAAGAATCGAGTCTGAGCCTTCTCAAAAGAACTGGAGAAACAGTTGAAGACTTAGAAGGAAGGAAGAAAAGGAAGGGTCAATAAATGGGAATCTGAGGAGACGGAGGGCCAAGATTAGGAGAGCCGCGGTAGGAGAGAAGAGTCATCTCTCCCTGGGGCTGAAGAATGAGGAAAGTCATTAAGAGTCTGGATTAAGCCTGCCAAGAGAGACCCTAGGACTCTCAGGAGTCAGAACTTATGGAAAAATCGTAAGATTAAACCCCAAGGATGAAGGGAGTCCTCAGAAGGAGCGGACCAGCGCCAGCAAGCAGTAACGAAGAATAGAGCAAGCTGCTCCGAAAGGACAGGAACAGGGAAATTGAGCCGTAGGGGGGAGGACAACAGAGTAAGGAAGGAATGATCTCGATGATATAGGATAAGTCTCCCTTCTCAATAGCTCAGCAATGGGAATCCACACTCCCAAGAGGTTGGAGATAGGTGTAAATAGCCGATAGTGAATCTCAGAAGAGGGTATGAAGTTCATCAAGTCCCGTCGACCACTGTTAACAATTTCGTACGTATGGACGATTTATTAAATAGAGTATCAGGATGGGTCAGTTTTGGACTTCAAGATAGGAAGCGGGAATGAAACAGGCGAAGGGACCCCCTAGGTCAGGCAGCTCCGAGTCAATACATACCTAGGCGCAACAGGCAGAGATGACAATCGACAGAGGAAAGCTAATGTTTAAGCATAAGGTCATGACCTAGAGGAAAGAGCTTCCAACCGAATGGGACGACAGGCCAGGACAAAGGGAAAGGCCTCCAGCGTCAGCACCCGAAGCTCCCCCTAAGGAAACTAGAGAGCCGCGGCTAGAGAGAATGCACGAGCAACAGGTCCGCAACAAGTAAGGACTTCTAAAAGCGAGGAACATGGTAGAAGCAAAGATGTCTTGACCCCTCCCTTCCCCACCCAAATAGAAAACCGACCACTGAGCCCAAGTTACCTGTTAAGGCAGAAGTCGAACCCAAGTTTCTGGTCCGAGCCACCGAGCCAGGATATCTCGGGAGGCAACAAGTGATGCTCTGGAGGCTAGCCAAGGAGCTAGAAATACATCAGGGATCACCCCCCTGTCTCCGCAGCTATGAAGGGGAGAAGTAGAGGAGGAGAGTGGAATAGTGGCCGACGAATTCCCCTCTAGCCCAAAAGAGCAAAGGACGAACCGAAGGCTATACTTCGTGCCAAGCAAGAGCAACCGCCACTGGGGCCTGGAAGGGGAAAAGGGCGGGATACCGGAGAAGGCATCGAGAGGAGCCAAGGGGGAGAAAGGGGATCAGGAAGATAAGGAATCAACTGAGCACGTAAGGACTCCTTGAAATCTCCTTGGAAGGAACCATTATTGATCTTAAGTATCGGGATGACTCGGGCCGATGCCACTGAGTTGACAGCGAAGATAGGAGCTCATCGGGCCTCGAGCAGAATCCTGAAGGATAAGGGCAGCCTTCCAACGACAGCAGCTCAGGCAACCTCAGGAAAAGAAAGTAAGGGGACAACTAAGAAAGAAGCAGAACAGCCCAGGACTAACAGATATGGTGGAGCAGATAATGACCCCCCAAACCTCGTGAAAATGGCTTCCGGTGTCTTGAGCTTAAGAGACCAGTCCTGGAGCCACAGGTACGCAGCAACGAATCCGGGGGGGTGTGACCCAGACAGCAATATGTATTGTCTAGGCGAATATGGAGGACAGCAATACGTAGCCCGAGGATTTCTGGGCTCTATGCCAACTGCAATGATGCGTCTGACTAATGAGATGAACTGGGAGGACTTTATAGAAGGAAGGGACGGACTGAGGGGATACATCATGGGCCCTACAGAAAATAGCCAGTCATGGAAGGGACTTTTATGTTGTGTAGTGTCTAGGGCGTTAGCAATCTCAGTGATTAAAGCCAAATCCAAAGGAAAAACTGCCCAAATCTGGGAAAAGGGCCAATGGCAGAGCATCTTGAGGAATGCAACCACTAAAGATTGGTCAAAAAGCGCCACAGGGAAGAGCATGCTCATGACCGTAGGGTGTATAATAGCTGCCATGATGGTCAGGCCTAGTCATGATAAGGAAATCAGCGGGCGCCTAAGGAAAAGTTGCGAGACAGTGTGGCAGGAGGTAGCGCTGGAGTTGGAAGCTCCCGGATCTCAGGGCACCTCAGGGGAACTGACAACATTAAACGATTTCTTGGAGAAGCTTCGGGAGGTGAGAGGGACAAACCAGGAAAGATATGATGGTTTTGGGTTTCTTATCAGTCTATATTATGGACTAATGAGTTGTTGTAGATATGGGAGGAATTATGAATTAACGAGGTTAATAAGAAAAGAAGGATGGAGTCTAGAAAAAATGGGATCGTGCAAGATGGACGGACAAGAGCTTAACTGTGAAGGACAGTTAAAACAAGTCGAGGGGGATGCATTGAATATCTGGAATAGAGGGAGCCCTATCCTCATATCCCAAGTCCAACGGATGGAACCGAAAAAACTCAAACTCACCACAGGGTCAGAAAAGGGTGACGAAGCCGACGCGGCTGAGGTGGAGCAGATAAAGAGAAAAAATGAGGAAAAAGGGGCTAAGCTAATGGAGCAACATAAGAACACTAAGACGAACACTGCTATCGTCGCTGCAACAGGGACGAGGACCAGCTTGACAAGCGCGGATACCCAGAATCCTGCTCCCCGCAGCCTAGGTGCCGTCACCTCCCCCCAGACGAGCCAGACTCCATTGAGAAGTGACGTCGGAGTGGCCAGGGACCAAAATCTCACAGGTGAGGTGGCCGTTTCTCCCCCGCGATCCGCAGTGACAAGAGAGACCACCCCAAATCTGGACCGAGCAGAGTCCCTGATCCCTTCAGGCCTCTATCTGAATCCAGACGAAGCGAAAGGACCAAGACAGACAAGCTCCGCCCATTCCTCACGGAGCAGGGGGACACGAAAGCAGGAACAAGACCGACCCCCCCCAACGGGCGTGGCCGATCCAACAGGAGGAGGGAGTAGGACGATAGGGATCATAGGGGCAGCTGTATCAGGACTATTAGGTCTGGCCAGTTTGTATGGTTTTTACCGAATATTTAAGTCAACCAAAGGAGGCACTGGAAGGAGGGGGTACCGAGGGGAGAAGTTCCTGGGTCGAATAGGATATGGAGTAGCAAAGGCGAATGCTCAAGCCACCGACTGAGGTGGCTAGGATTCAGCCACCGGACGATTGCCCCCCCTAAAACCCCCCAAAGAGGGGAAGGGAAAACACGCAGGTCACCGCAGCTAGTCGCCACATGATAGATTATCAAGAGGATCAAGTACCAGGAGGGGAACTCAGCCAGGAGTTCAACTGTTGGGCAGGTTGATGGTGACTAATCTTCGGAGCCTGAGACCCCATTCCCCACTAAGGATCAAGGAGGAATAAATCCGAATGCCACCGGTTTCAGCTCTCTGGTTGAGTTATCAACTGAAACCGACAGCACGCGGCCTCCTCATGGATTTGCAGAGAAGGTGCCCACCCTGCCCAACGCGTCCTAGGAATGGAGTGACTATGAGGAGTAACGTACGTAAGGACTTTAGTTGGAGATGGTGAAAGGCTGGGGGCAGCAAACGAGAGGTCCCAGACGGGGCAGTCTGTTCTCTTAGATGTTCAGTCTTTAAGCCGGCAACCCAGTAGGTTCTCAGGACTAAGTTAGGTAGGAAACGGATCTCACAAGGGGTGCAAGGAGAACTGTGAAGCCACCATGATCGCGACCTCTTTAGGGGAAAGGGGGGCTTAGAGTGTGTCTTTATTGGTTATAGATTGAGATTAGCCCTTATGGGTTTAGGTTGAAAAGAGCAGGCTGCAGGGTTCAGGGGTCAGGGTCCAGGGGTTAGGGTTCAGGCTTCAAGGTTTAGGGTCTGGGGGTTAGGGTTTAGGGATCAAGGTTCAGGGTTTAGGGATCATGTTTAGGATTAGGGTTCAGGGTTCAGGATTCACAGGACAGGGTCTAGGGTTTAAGGTTCACGGCCTAGGGTTTCGGAGTTCAGGGTTGTAGGTGTTCAGGCTTTAGGCCTCAGGGGCTATGCTCTACAGTTCAAGGTTACGGTGCAGGGTTAGGATTAGGGCTAGTGTTAGCTTAGCGTCTAGGGATCAGGGTTTCGGTTTAGGGTTAGTGTTCATGGTTCAGGCGTTAGGCTTCAGGGTTCACGGTTAAGGTTCAGGGTCTAGGGGTCAGGATTCAGGGTTTAGGGTTCAGGGTTTAGGGGTTCAGGGGCTCAGGGTTCAGGCTTCAGGGTTCAGGCTTCAGGGTTCAGGGTTTAGGTTTTAGGGTTCAGGGCTTAGGGTTACTTTTAGGGTCTATGTTTCTGGGCTCAGGGTTCATGCTTCAGGGTTCAGGCTCTAGGGTTAGGGTTCAGCTTCAGGCTTCCTGCTCTAGGGTTAGGGTTCAGCTTCAGGCGTCAGTGGTCAGGGATGATGGTTTAGCTTCAGGGGTCAGTGTTAAGGGTTTAGGGTTCATGTTTCAGGGTTTAGGATTCAGGGTCTAAGGTCCAGGGCTAGGTTTAGAGCTCATGGTTTAGGTTTCTGGGGGTCAGGATTCAGGGGTCAGGGGTTATGGTTCAGGGTTCATGTTTCAGGGTTTAGGATTCAGGGTCTAAGGTCCAGGGCTAGGTTTAGATCTCATGGTTTAGGTTTCTGGGGGTCAAGATTGAGGGGTCAGGGGTTATGGTTCAGGGTTCAGGGATTAGGGTTAGGGTTCAGGGTTTAGGGGGTATTTTTCCGGGGTGAGGGTTCAGGGTGGAGGTTTCAGGGGTGAGGGGTTATGGCTCAGTGTTCGGGTTTTAGGTTTAGGTTCCAGGGTTTATGTTTAGTTTTCAGGGATCATGGTTCAGGGTTCCATTTTTATCGTCCTGAGCCCTGGCGGTGGGGTTTATGTCTTAGGGCTCAAGGCTTAGGTTTCAGGTATTATTGTCCATTCTTAGGTTTCGGTTTTCACGCTTTATTGTCTATTGCTCAGGCCTCACTCTTTAAGGGTTAGAAGTCAGGTTGTATTTTCTAAGACTCATCCGTTAACTTCGAGACTCTCGCTCTTACGTCTTAGGGTCATTGTGTCCCTTTCAATTTTCATATCTCTTGGGTTGGCGTCCAGGTGTTGGTAGGGGGGGCGGGGCATTCTTGGGAGTCCTCGGTGTCCTTACGTCGTTCCCGTTCAGGGTTTTCCTGGAGTTTGGGTATATTTCCTTTGGGCTTTTTTATTATTCGGCTTCATAAATTTTATCGCTTATGTCCTAGCTCCCACTCTTCTGTGGCACCTTGTTTTTTCACTGTTGGGGTTGATCTTCAGGGGTAGCGTCATAGCTGTTCCTTGGGTTATTAGGGGTCCTACTGTGGCTTCTCCATCTGTTTCTCATGTTGTATTCTTTATTCGTCTGGAGTATCTGGACTTGATTTTGTCCGTAGGATCTCCTTAATATGGACGGGATGCCTGTCTTGAGGGATCTAGCATTAGTCATGAGCTCCTAGGGTCTACGATTTAGATTCGGTTTTATTTTTGTGGGGTCATGGGGGCGTATTTTCTTGGGATTGGTGGTTCTTTTATTCTTTTGCTTTATTCTTAATATCCCTGATAGGTGGCGTTTGTCTTTAAACTTTTGGGTTGTTCTTTGATCACCTAGCTTGGAGGGGGAGATGTTTTCATTGGGTTGGGGCGGGCAATTTCGGGGTTTTTAAATGTTTCTTCCTCAGTTGCGAGTGGGCCCCTTAAATTTGTCCAAGGGGGTTTCATCATGAGTATTTGGTCATTGTCTTGGGTTTAATTTCTATGGAGTTTTGTTTAGATATTCTTTATAACTGATTTCAGCTGTCAAAATGAAGATGGCCATAGGACGGTTGGATGGGCTGTGTCACTAAAGAAGAACTACCAATAGTGGAAGCGAGGGAGACGGTAAATTTACATATTTATGCATATTTGGCTCAATTAAAAATGACTTATTGATTTTTTAATGAGTCTATAGCTATAGATTTCCAATAAGTCATATAATATTTGTAATATTTTAAAAAAACAAGACCAAAGAAAAGGAGCATAGAAGCTAATTAAAATTCCTCATTGGTTTTTGCTCAAATAATCATGGAAGACTTGTTGTATTAGATGAATACAACTATATATATCCGTGCTGCCTGCTGTGTGGTGCATTATTTACAGAACGCTACTATACAGTTTCTGTATGGTGGGTTAGGTTTGTCTTGGAAGTGTAGTTGTTGTGAGGTTAAACATGACTCTTTTGAGAATATCTTCCAGTTATTAAGACAGGGTCACTTTGAATGAGAGAGTTTTTACAAATATAATAATACATCTTTTTCGTTTAGGGTTTGACCTGCTCCGTTGTTGTTGGGAGTTGGAGCTTCTTTTGGTTATAAAATTAAATTTATCCCTTCATATCAATTCCCTTTCGCTGATAAAATATATATAATGTGAAAAGGAATAGTCATCAATACTATCCTATAAATACAGAAAGTTCAGACATCCCTTTGACTAAAGACGGTTAAACCATATCGCTTGGCTTGAGAAATGAATAATGGACTTCGTTTGTTTTTATTTAGCTCGCCTTCATGGCTCTATAGATATTATACCTATTTATATATATACGGAACCCGCAGTTCTCCTAAGGCCGCCCGTTTGAGGGTTATTCATTTCTTCTATTCTTGTGTTCTATGAGGTCTGTATCAGATTTCCTGTATGCCGAACTTCCCCCTTCCTTATCTTTTGGATAGTCAGATATAGTCCCTCTTGTTATATCTGTCAGTTATTGAATTTATCCATTAATTCTTTCACATAGTATAAAGTGTATTCGCTTGATATCAAGAAACTTTTATTCACATCATAATATTAGATGTCCTTCACATAACAAATCCAGAGGCGCAAGAGGAATAATTTGTTCAGAGAAAAATACAGCAGGCCCTTATATATGTGATCCCGGTTGTCTTGCACACGAATGAAAAAAACATATACGGCTTAGATATCTGTCATTAATAGATAAATATTTATTTACTGCCTTAATTAATGTATCATTAAGGAAGACACAAAATGAACAGTTGCTGGAGGATTAAAATTTCCTGATACAATGATTTGTCAATGAGTTACGCTCTCGGAGGGATTATATAGTGATAAGTATAGTAGAATACACTAGGTTCATAGTGTCACATTAGTAGGGTGTTATCTGACACTCGATTTCTGAATATCTAGAAACAGGGATCCGCAAATTGTTCGCTTCCTACGTTCTATTATCCCTTGGCGCGCTCTCTGTTGAGATAGGATTTTCCTTTCGGCTTAGAGATTTTTTTTTGCTTTGTTTCTCAACCTAAGTTGGGGACGGGTTTGATAAATTATTCACCTAATTGCATCTCATCAAACCCAGAGAAAACGCCATCTTTAGATTCAGAATGGGTGGAACTTACATTCTTATTTGAGTCTTCTTCTCTCAGACATCCATCTTCAGTTAACTCCGAGAAGATCCTGTCCTGTATTAGTGGCATTATCTCCTTCTCCAGGGGGTTATTTCCTGCGATAAATTGCTTAAAAAAGTCTGGAACGACAGTTTGTGTACACATTAGTCATATGTATCTTATTTATATTTCATATGTATAGACTGCCTTGTCCATATAAACATCCAAAAAAAAGGTACATTTGATCCAGGTTAAGAACAAAATAAGAAATTTCGAGAGGCTTCGTATTATTTCTTCAAGAAATCTCTACTCCATATAGCTTCCTGGTAGGAACATATAAGTGTCGACAGCGAGAAGTCAAATTGAGCAGGAGAGAAAACAGGATCTTCGGAAGTTAAGGCCATGTGAGGTCCCGTCCCCGGCTTCAGGGGCGGGAGAACTTGTTTCGTTTCTGCTTTTATTCCTAGTCGAGCATTCATCAGCCAAAGCGGAATGGGATTCGCTGAGAAAAGCCATAGTAGTTTAATTTAATTCCTGTGGTTCATATAAGTATACATAAAAAAGTGTTATTACGTGCGCGAATATTGTTCTAAATATATAACTGAGGTCGGTTGGGTTATGTTATCATAAACGGCGTTAAAATACGCTGAAATATTTTAAACTACCTTCAAATACGGTGTAGTAGGTTTT